GCTTGTAGCATTGAATTAGTAATTATGGAAGAAATGTATTTGAGTACAATATACCATAAAGTGTACCTTCTGTAATAGTTATTATCACTTCCTGTTGTGTTTCAGAGTTTCAGTTACGAGTATTAATACTGAGCCATTGTTTATCTGTCATGTATTGTATATAAACCACTAAGCTCTGTAATGTTAATATGGCCTTTAGAGCTTCAGAGTAGTTACTTTACTACTAGTTATTTTGGCTGTGGATATGATTCTATAGATAACATCACCCTCCATGGCTTGAAGACATATACTAACACACACATTAAGATACCTTCTCTAGCTCCAGGTGTCCCAGTGCAGATTGTGGATTAGTTGTGTACTGTACTGCCTTGTAAAATAATCTTACTTGCATAGGCAGGTTGGCTGCCATACTGAAGCTTGGCATAGTTGGGAGGCTGTAGTTGTTGGACATAACTGGGTCTGACCGTCCCAACATGGCTCCTGGTGAGAAGAAGAGTAGGAAGACAGGCAAAGAGAAATGAAGAGAATAAAAAGCTTTGTACAGTATCCGAGGCATTATAATTAGCATACAAGCTATTAGCATCTCTATGACACTGCCAGATGGAGGGGACATATTGAACTGCACATTACAAGTAAATCTCAAGTTGTGATCCCCAAAACTTTACCACCTGAGCTGAAGTGGAAGTGCATGTAATCCATAAATTTTAGTGTTAGTGAATTGATCTGTGGCTCCTCTTGTTCATGTGTCCTGGTGTATTTGAGCAACACACTAACCTCCAAAATTGTACATGGGTAAATTATTTCAGAATTTGTTAAATAAATGTAACTGAACTCCTCAACTATGGCTGTTAGAGCCTGTGTCAAGATGAAATATGTCAAAGCAGCTATGTAAGAACGTTATTGGTCTTAGAATTCTAATACTTCATTCAGTTGTCATGAATCTTATTGGAATTCATGATGAACAGCATTGCAGCTGCACATCTTCTACAAGAAAGGTAGTCTTTAAGTACTAAGCTAAATTTGCTTTTCTTCTGGAGGATGAGAAAGGCAGGAACCCATTTAAACAGTAAAATATGTATGCAATGTAAATAAGTGCTCAATTTGTACCAGGAATGTCTTTCAAAAATGTACATGATGATAGACTATTTCATATTATTAAAATCATGACTACAGATTCACTTGTAGCCCACATAGTGAGGCCAAAACAAGCAAACAGATGAAACAGAGTTGCATGTGACAAACACTTAATCATGCTGTGCATTTAACCAATTTTTTCTGAAAATATTTGTTTCTGGAGGCAAGAGTAGATTATAGTGCAAGAGCCATCTGAAAAGGTTCTATGGACAATTGAGCTCATTTTGTTTTTCAGTGTTATACCACCATTATGGTAAAATTTGAAATGATTTGATGTAACACTTGAGTCTTAGTAGTGTCAGCAAAGCTGTAGAAATGGGCCCCAAAAATCTTTGTTGTTCAGATCAAGAGCTTAGCTCAACCATAATAATTTTAATCAGTATGATCATTTTAGATTTATGTTTAAAAATAGTAGTTGTTGGTTTATTTAGATTGTAAGCAAATCAAGGCAATTATTGATGAATTTAAGGTTTATATTTTAATGCTTGTTGCTTTGCTGTAGCTCTGTTAAGCTTCTATATAAAATTCCTGAAAAGGTTTAATACTCTCTGTGGTTATTGAGTCAAGTTTGGATGATGCTGTTTCTTATGATTTTAGTGAGTTTACACTCTTAAGTGGTAATTATTAAAGTTGCACATATTGCACAATTCACAGTGAGTGTTCGATTACACAATTCACTGTGTTAATAGTAGTATGCCAACCCTCTCAGCAGTGTCTCAGAGAGGTTAGTGCCTCTCTGATTGGGCTTGTTGCTTGGGTGTTATGCCATACAAACTGGCTGTCTGTGGGAGGGAAGGATTTTTGGACAGTTTAATCAGATAGTTTAACAATCAATAGTATTAATAGTATGCCAGCCTTCTTGACAGTGTCTCAGAGAAGCAGTGCCTCTCTGATTGGGCTTGTTGCTTAGGTGTTATGCCATACAAACGGGCCGGCTGTCTGAGGTTGCATAACAGTTCACAGGGGTTTTTTTTTTGTTCAAGGTTTCTTTATTTGTTTTAATAACACAGAACATATACACAAGGGAAAAGTGCAAAAACAAACTCCTTCCATCCCCCCCTAGCACCAGACACCAAAAAAAAAAAAAAAATTCCATTACAGCAGTAACCAGAATAAAAGCAATCTGCAATACAGAGTGTGCAGTAGAAAGAAAAGCACTACCCATCCCCTCCATTTTACAAGGCAACATTGTCTCCTTTCATTCCTTCAACAAAAATTAAGAAAGGTTGCCAGATTTTATAAAATTCTCCAGTAGACCCTCTAACCGTATACCTCATTTTCTCCAATTTAAGGTGACACATAACTTCCCTTATCCAGTGACTGAATGACGGTGGAGTGGGGTCTTTCCATTTAATCAGTATCATTCTCCTGGCCAGAAGAAAGCAGAATGCTAGTATTTTGGATTTCCTTTTACCAATCCTAGTGTTCTCCAAGGATAATCCGAACAGCACAATATACGGGAATGGTTCCACCCCTTCTCCAAATACTCCAGACAGTGTCTTGAAAATTTTAGACCAGAACACATAAAGCCTTGGGCATGTCCATAACCTATGCAACAGAGTCGCGGGAGCTTGCCCGCATCTATCACATGTGGGGTCCATGTCAACCCTGATCTTAGATAGTCGGACTTTAGTCCAATGCAAATGATGTATGGTTTTAAATTGTATTAAAGCATGTCTAAGGCAAATGGATGATGAAAAGATTCCCTGTATTATTTTATGCCAGATTTCCTCTGGTATTAACTTGCCTAGATCTGTTTCCCATTTATTTTTGAGCAGATCCAGATGAGTCGAGTCATATCTGCTAAGTAACTCATAGATCTTACTTATAGCCCGTTTCTCGGTTGGTTTACATTCACAGATTGAATTGAGCAGAGAAGTTGGAGGGTGTGATGGGAAGTACAGTGCCTTGCGAAA